GCTTCACGGCACGATATGTTTATATTTGTCAAGAAACAAATATATATATTATTTATATATTATTAAATTAATATATTATTAAATTCTGTTACAGCGTAACTGATAAATCCACTAAAAGTACTCAAATAAGAAACCCTGTTATTATTCTTTTTAAAAAAATCTAATTTACAAAAAATTTGAAAAACAAAACAAAACATTCTTTCAATTCTCCAGAAATAACGACAAATTTATTGATGTAGTTTTACATAGTTAATTTAACACTATAGCTTTGTTGAGAAAAAATACTCAAACTCCTGCAGAAGCGTTAATTTCATGGAAACTTCGTGTATTGTGATGAGGTTAATTAGGCGCCAGAGACTTAGTTCCAGCGTGTACAGTGACCTGAAGTAGGCAGGAAGCTTGATTATGGTAGAAAAATAACCCTATACGAGAATTCTCCATGTAGCCTGCGCTTAAGGTTTAACTCACATAGGAATACAACGTTTAACAGAAAACTACTCAGCCTCATAATAGACTTACGTATGTTTCAATATTGGCTAGCTTTTTGTGTGTATGATATGTATTTAATGCTTTAAGCTGTAGCAAAGAAAAACCTGCAGAGGAAAGCGTATGGCCTGTGGGGGGAGAAAAACTGTTATAAAGTGTTATAAAAAACGATTCATAATTCACTAGATAGTCTTATTCAGATCATTGAGCTGCAAAGTTTCTGTGATGTGGTGCTGTTTAAAATGCGTTTTGGTGAGCAGCGATCGTAGGGTGCTTACGTGTCCTATAAAATGTCTCGTAAAAGAAGGCTTCCAAATACATTTTGTTTCGTTTTGGATAACCGAGAGGGGATTGGAACAGCAGCAAGTGCCAATAAGAAGGAGCCCGGTGTCATTTATTTTATTCATTCATAATTTTCATCTCGCATAGCGGTTCCTGCTCAAATCTTGATAATTCTTAAAAAGTCGAAGTTGTTATAGGAGAGAGGGTGAGTATTTAATGACCGTAGGGATTGATTTATCCTTTATTGTTCAGCCTTATGATCACGTGTGTCTGCTACCCAATGGCATGGCAGCCTGTCTCCCCATTACTTTCCCACTGTAGTTCTCCGTGGAGCGAAGTTGCTACTTGATTTCTCCACATTGTTATTTTGTGAGGCTGGGTTTACTGCGTGTGTATGTGTGTGTGTGTGGTGTGTGTGCGCGTCTCGCTTTTGCATGCATCCGCTGTATGACTGTGTACATGTGAAAGTGTAATTTTTCTGCCATGTCGACATCTGGAACGCTGACTAGTTACTACGTCGATTCCCTCATTCTTCCCGAGAGCGAGGAGCTCTCTGTGCCGAGGTACACCTCCGGTCCTGGGCTCCAGCACGCCAGGCAGCATGCCTCCATCAGCGACCACAGCGAGATCGGGACTTGCACCTTCCCATCCAAGCCCCAGGTATTCGGGCCGTCTTGGAGCCACGTCCCGGCTCAGTTTCCAGCCACCGTCTCCTCTGTGTATCATCCCCACTACGGGCATCCCCAAGGCCCAGTAGGTGGAGATACAGATGGCCGGTATCAATCCTGGCTTCTGGAGCCCATGTCCGGTTCCCTGCCGTTGACCGGATTACCGACGACCCATCACTACGGGATCAAACCGGAGGGACTGGGGGCGCGGGCTGAAGGAGGGCTGCCCGGATCCCACACGGCTCTGCTGCTCTCTGATTACGCCAATGGCACCGTGGCGTCAGCATCACCGGTGGAAAAGGACGAACTCTCCGTCCAGGCAGGGGATTTGAGCGGAGAGGGGGAAGAGAAACCGGGCCTGGATCCAAGTAAGTCAAAGCAGAGTCTTTTATGTCATTTGCACAACATGAAGCTGGGGTGCCTTATGGGGGTGCGCGTCCTAACAGATGCCATTCTGAACGTGCCATTTCCTTATGGGGGGCTGTTAATAGCCCAGCTCACATTGCTGTATTAGATAACCTCTTGCAGCCTTTAAAGTGAGCGTGAGCAGTGAGGGAGGCAGAAGGGAAAAAACATGGACGGGGAGCTGTAGAGCTGTGGATATAGCAGAATTTAGAGGCGCACATCCGCTTTTACTTTATTTGTATTATATATATATATATATATATATATATATATTTTGGTTAGTCAGAAGCTCAGGACCTCACACCAGTGTCGCACCCCACTCTTTTCAGATAACCCAGTGTCCAACTGGCTCCACGCGAGTGCCACAAGAAAAAAGCGCTGTCCGTACACCAAGCACCAGATCCTGGAGCTGGAGAAAGAGTTCCTCTTTAACACCTACCTGACCAGGGACCGTAGGTACGAGGTGGCGAGGCTGCTAAACCTCACCGAAAGACAGGTTAAAATTTGGTTTCAGAACCGCAGGATGAAGATGAAGAAGTTCAATAAAGACGGCGCACCGAAAGACGAGTGACTGAACCTTAGACAAAAGCAGCATTAGACTGATAGCGAGCTTGATGTGTAAGAGCTCTTAACTCTGCTGGACCCTGTTTTTAAACAACATTGTCATATTGTTCTTAATAACAGCTATAGGGTATTTGTCTTGTAAAAAACAAAAACAAACAAACAAACAAACAAAAAAAACAGCATGTTGGGCTTTAGTTTTTGCAACTACCATTATATTGCACAGTTTTAACAGTGCACCCTCGTTTTTTTTAAACTTGTTCTTTTCTCGTGCTGATTTGAATTAATACCTCGTTAAAGTGTATTAGTTGGCCTTGCCCCTGTGCTTGTTTGTGTACGACTGTTTCTAGCTCTCTGTGTTCCGGATTGTAGCTATATTTGTTGTCTGTCTCAGAGCCAACTGAGCGTATAGTTTGTAAAAAAAAAAAGTATTTTATTGTTGTTTCTCTCTTACTATTAGGATAAGACTTTGACTGAATTTGAATCTAACGTTAGAAACTGTAGGGAAAAACAGAGTAAAATAGGCGCATAAATACAAGGAACCTCCCGAGAACTCTTACGAAATTTCAGTATATATATGATAGGCTAGAAGTTGTATTACATAACATGATTGACTACCTATGTCTTTCAACTACCTACATACCTACATTGACCTTTGTTTTGCAGTGGTGGATTGTAATAGATTTGTTTGCATTACTGGACTACGTGTGACTGAATTTCAGGGAGTCATTTTCAAAGAGCGTAATATTTGTTAGTGAGTGCAAATGGAAGAAAACACTGTAGGCTAGCTACTCATTTTAATACCTCGCGGTCGTGCTGACCGTCTGACTTTTGGTTCACAAATGTAATTTGTACTTTATTTATTGAATAAAACAAATTATATCTGCGACTACAAGTATCTTACATTCATATCTCACTGCACCCCCATGCCAGACTGCATTTCATGCTTTCATAATATTTGAAATTCTGAATTCTTGATACGCAAAAACAAACAAACAAAAAAGCCTGAGCTGGCGCTGGTTTGCGCTGCCAAAAATTATGACACGTGAAAATACAGAAACAAAAAATAGAGTAATAATAATCAGTTATATTTGGATTATTGCATACTTAGTGAAAATGAGCTTTTGTGTTTGCTTCAATATTTTTAATTTGTAAAAAGCAAAAAAACAACCCCCCCCCCCAAAAAAAAAAAAAAAAAAAAAAAACCCGCACACACCAATGAAACCTAACACACCTAGAACACTGTGTGTGTGCGTGTGTGTGTGTGTTGGGGACAGAGCTGCATCTTGGCAGAGGATGTTGTTAGCTGTATACAGCCATAAAAGACAATTACCGCTATAACCTTTTATGGGGTGCAAAGCGCTGCGAGGCGAGAGGACACAAAACAAAAAAGACACCGTGGGCTTCGACTGCTGAAGCCCAAAATAATACAGCCGATGTGTTTCTCCTCAGCCCAGATATGACAAGGGCGCTTGGGCTAATCTGTCATGAGCCATCACAGACGGCGCTAAACAATTTACAAGAAGAGGAAAAAAAAAACCCGCATCTTTTTAAATGTATTTTGGAAATTTAGGAATTTGTTTAAACACACACACACACACACACACACACACACACACACACACACACACACACACACACATTTTGAGGTCAAACTGTCCAACTGGCTTTGGAGTAATGGTGTAGGTCTAGTTTAAAATATGGCCCCTTCGTTTTAGTGTTAAGACTGGTTCAAGTCTCTGCATGCTGGAGAAAATATTTGACACAAAAAAAGAGACCAGCAAATCCGATCTGAGCTACAGTTGCATGGTGTCCTGATCGATCAAAGACAGGAGGAGCAGGTAATTCAGCTTTCATTAAGGGGCTGTACAGAAACTATCGATTATGCTGCTTGGAGGCTAAGACGTACTTTAGTCCACAACTGGAGTGCTGTTGTGACGCGTTGGGGGGGACGCAGATGGACCCAAACTTCAAAGACTCGGCCAGAGACAGTGCAATAAAACGCCTGGTCTGCTATACTGTCTGGCATTCCAGTTTTAATGGCTTTATGGCCGTCCAGACACAATTAGGCCGCTTCCAGAATGGCACCCATTTGTTTTTTCTTCTCTTTCTGTGAGACTGCGGTCTGGACAAAAGGCCCGAGCGGAAACGATCAGTTTTATTGGATTCTCCTCGATGGGGACGCGCAGGACTCATGGTCATTTGGAGGGATCCTTTGTTTCTACCTGGGAACCTTCCGCCCCTTGCTCCTTTGCCGGGCCTTCCTAAAGGAAAAGGCAGCAATAAAGTGAACAGCTAGTTTCAGACACAGCAGTGAGACTTGTGTCTATAAACACGAGTATGTTGCAACACCCGAGCATTTCTCCAAATCATACCCAAAATAAACGAAACGTCACCTCCGTGACATCCTCCTTTCTTTAATCTGCTGCATTCTATCGGATTCGGCATTAAAATAACAACGCCTGCGCAGTGCTGCCTCCCCAACGCTGCAATTCCCACGAATCACCAGAGGGTGGCGACACTGTTCTACATCACCCCTCTGCTTTTTGTAACACCCCCTCCCTAATGAGCCTGCACTGGGAACAAACTGTAGCAACATTTTAAGAGTCCAGAGGAATAATTTCACACCTTTTTACAGTCTCAGTGCAGAAGCTGCTTCATGAACCTGCAGCTCTGCGGGGGGGAATGAAACAGCCTGTGGCTGCTGGATTACTGCTTGCCAAGTAGTCGCTCTGTTCACTCTTGTCGTCCTGTTGTCGTGTTTAAAGGTAAACGCCTTAAATTAAATAATTAGTTTAACAGCAAGACTTTGCTAAAATCTGCATCCTCCCGCTCAATTGTTCATTAATTATTTCAAGAATGCATATGTTTAAAATATGATATAATATATGATTTTTTCCACAGGGAATAATTAAGTTTACAATCCGTATTATTATTATTATTATTATTATTATTATTATTATTATTATTATTATTGCTTAAAATATTACTAAAAATAACAAAACTATTACCTTAAAATAATATTAGTTAATAATTACATTATGATATTAGTAAAGTTAAATAATTAAAAACGTAATATTACTAATACTACTACTGATCATTATTACAGACGGTAATCGTAATTATTTGAGGTAAAGTAGTGAAATCTAAATATTTATATTTACTAAATATAATATTTTTTTCAAGCATGATTTGTGGTAATTTATTGCCCATTTATGGGTAACAATATAATCCAATTTTACCAACAATACCAAAACAACAGCAACAACAACGATAATAATAATAATAATAACCGGTCATATTGCACGGATAGATAAATATAATGAAAACTAACTTGTGAAAATATGTTTTAATGGCACGAGCCATTTTGTAAGACCAAAAGAAAATATACAGATGTTTTTATGTGGTAGATGATCAAAAACTATTTCTTTAAGTACTACTAGATAGATAGATAGATAGATAGATAGATAGATAGATGGGGTACTTGAAATAAAAAAAGGAAGCAGAAAGCTTATAAAATGATGATTAGTGATGAAATGGCGAAACAAACCCATGAGAATTAAATTCAGCCAGTTACCCTCGGCTTATCGGGACCGTGTGAATTTCTTGCATGTGTGTTTATATCTGTGTGCGTGTTTATGTGTCTGAAGTGTTAATCCTACTCCGCAGTCCTGTGCCATAATAAAACCCACGTCTCTGCTGATTGGACGAGAGCGACCAGGCCGGGGTCACATGGGTGAGTTCTTTGGTCCAGAGTAAAATGGGGTTTGGTGTAAATCTAGGGTGTATTGCTGTCATCTATCACACTACCTCGTAAAAACGACACTGAGGATTCTGGGCCAACAAATCAGAGAGAAAAAAATATGAGTTCTTATTATGTGGATGGTCTTCTTAGCAAATCTACGACGGGCAGTTCCCTGTTCCCAAACGTGGAACGAGCTTCTTGCGGCATCGGACCCCGTGGGGACGACCATAGCTCTACTCGGACTGCTGCGGCCATTGCATTTGCGCCATCCCTCTCTGGAGTTTACAGCGTTAATAATACAGTGTACCAGAGCCATACTGTGTTTACCTGCGGCTATGGCCAGGGGCAGGACGCACACACGTCACACTGCAGCCCGTTTGACCAGAGCCGCCTGTTCAGCGACAGCTGCTGTCACCCTGGGACTGAACCCCTAACCTCGTCGCCGGACAAACAACACCGGATGTACCCCTGGATGCGACTATCAGGTATGTGCTGTTTCAAAGCCCCCGGGTCAGTGCTCTTACAAAACATTGTGATACTTAGACTGGCCGTTAGTGGTTCAATTAATTTCGTGAAGCCATTGGTGTTGCATGGAAAGAATCGTAAAACTTTTATTGCGCAACTAATGAGTTCTGCAGCCATAAATTCATTTGGCCAGCGCTTGTGTGTGTTCAGTACGCAGAGACCTTGCCGCTGGGGGTTTTCTCTGCACTCCTATTACTCTTACAGCCTCTTCTCCCCTTTGTGGTTGTAAAAAAGACCGGCCTGTTGTGTAAATCAGCTCTCCTGCACTCTGCAGCCCCTTTCTAATTGGTTCTGCATTGCAGAGGCTCTGGTATTTTCAGAAACCTGGATCAATATGCGCCACTACTGGCCGCTACACGGGGAAGAAAATGAAACATAGTAATATTTTTTGAAGTGGGAGCTGTAAGTAGTTTCTTCGGTGTGTAGAGCCTGGCTGGCTTTTAATTGGAAAGGCATGCAGAGTATCAAAGGAGGCATGAGCCAAACACCCCAGCAGGGCCACTTTAAATTGTTGCAAAGATGCTTTAAAAAAAAGTTGCGTTAGCGAATGCGTGTGTGCAGGTGGTAATTGAGTAATTACAGGCTGCAATTAAATATGCACTTACAAATGAATTATAGACATTTAAATCTGCTGGTTTTTATTGTAAGATCCAATTTTAAGAACACTTTAATTAAAAAAAATACAAATACAGTCCCACATTACAATAACGTTATTTCTGTTCACGCATCTCATCTTCCACAGATCCAAATCGAAAGCGAGGACGGCAGACCTACTCCCGACACCAGACGCTGGAGCTGGAGAAGGAGTTCCACTTTAACCGCTACCTGACCCGCAGACGAAGGATCGAGATAGCCCATGCCCTCTGCCTCTCAGAGAGACAGATCAAAATCTGGTTTCAGAACCGCAGGATGAAGTGGAAAAAGGACCACAAGGACGAGCCGAGCAACGAGGAACAGCACCGTGATATTCAGGCACCGTCGGAAGGCAGGGAACCCAAAAGTGAAGAGACCCGAAGCGACCGTGTTGACTCAGGAACAACTGCAAAGTAACAGAAGAGACGGACAGAAAATAAAATATAGAAAAATATACAAAATAAAGAAATATAATGTGTTAAATATTGTGTTGGAATGCATCGAATATAACTTCTGACATAACATTTAGGCACCAAGTTTCACTAATCTTTTGAGAGTAGCCTAATCCACATTAAAACACTACACTGCTTTTCTGGATTTCATATTTAAACCAGCACTAAAAATGCTTCACGTGACAAATACTAACTACCTACCCTAACTAGCCTGTATTTTTATATCCTCCGCATATATCGCACAGGAGTACTACAAATATGGCACATTTTGGACTACAGACAACTACTACTGAGTTAACATTCCTTCAATAAAAAACGACCTAGTATTTACCTTATAATTTTCAAAAACTGACACGGAAATGTAAACACGAACTGAGCTGGTGATTTAATTGATGGTTTCCTGTTTTCCACCACGGTTGTATTTTCTTAAGGGAAGAAATACAATTGATGTGCCTTATTTTGAACCGGTAAAGGCAAATGTTTTAGTTGACTGATTTTGATAAAATAATTACTGAGTTTCTTCTTCGCCCCCCCTTTAAATTAACATGGATTTTAATCCGCCTGCTAGGAGTGAGGATTTAACTATCGACGCAAATATTTGTTTAGTTTTGCATGTAACCTACCTCAGATTCCTCACCCGCTCACTATACCGTTAGCGATTGTGTCGTAGGCTACTGTGAACATCTAGCTTTACAGATTAGTCTTTTAAATACATGTATCGTTATCCAGCTGGCAATATCCATCATTTTATAATCAGAGAAATATTCCAGTACAGTGAGCAAACGCTGCTGGCTTTCAATCAAAGTCTGCTAGGCTTGTAGTCTGCCCTGTAAATGAAGTGAACGCGCAATCATTTAATAAAAATGCTTTTACCCTCTCTATTTGGTTTCATTCCATATTCACCGTGTTATTAAAAATATCCATCCAAGAAAAGGATTGTAATCGCGCCCTGGCTCGAGTAATATTGTGTTCACAGTTACCATTAAGTGACCTTCAGTGTGACCAGTATTGGGTTGCATGTAATGAGACATGTTACAGTCCATAATGGGGGTTAGGTAAACAGTGAAGTTGGGGAATGTGAGCTATGAGGATGCGAGATGGGACAGGCTGCAGATGAAGGGAAATTACTGTTGAACTCTGCTTTCCCTCCTCGCTGGGTAAGATGGCGCCTGACGCTGACCTGCCCTCCTCCCTCCCTCCTTTTTCTGTCTCTTTCTCTCCCCCCCGTCCCTCTCCCTCCAGCTCTGGGCCATAAATCCGTTGTTGTTTATGAAAATTTACAACATAGCCATACAAGTTTACGACGCGGCCCGGGTTCCTATTGGCCGCAGCTTGTCACGTGGCGGGGAGCCATGAACATGAACTTTTTTTTCGCCCCGTTTTTTATATTTAATTTTCAATTGCGGGATAGAGGAGCCTTTCATTTAACGGTCTCGGGCTTCCACGGGAACCTTTTCACAGTCGACCTTCGACATTTTACCATCTCTCACATCTACTTTTGGGGATTTTTTAAGGGGTCGGGGTGAGATGTTAGGCAGAACCTCGACGAGCAAGGAGCTTACAGTAAGACATGACTGGATCATTTGGGTGCCTAGGCGGAAAAATGAGACGAAGGAACCGACCCCCATGGAGAAACAAGCTTCCGAAAGGGGTCTCAGCCGGGAGACTTTTCTCTGTCACTGCACCTGCCCACTCCCTCCAGTCACCCCCCCTGTGTTTACATGCAGAGACCTTCACAAGGTAAGGCAGCTTACGCTTGTCAGCCGGTGCATGTGGTTGACAATGTACTTATTTGCATCTTCTTAAAGCAAGCAACTTACTTTATGGTTTCGCCTGCTTTGATTTTGGTTAGAGACTGAAATCTTGGAAAGAAATGGTTTCGTGTTACATTTGATCTTCATCAGGATTCCCATCACTGATGCTTTGTGTTCGTGTACAAGCTCTTATTTGATGATGATAATTATTATTGTTAATAATATTTTAACATGGCTATTCATTTTTGCAGTGATCTTAGTGTTGTTGTAGGCTGTCTGGATTGTATTTGTTGTTGGATTTAAATGGGGATGTGCTTTCGGGTGGGTGGATGATGGGCAAAGTAAGCGCTCTTTGACGCCCTCCTGTGGAGGCAGTGGGGCTATCGCGCTTGCAGCTCGTCGTGGTTTGTTTTGTTTTGTTTTTTTTGCTGCAAATGAGAAAGGTCGACATCTGTGCATCCACGTGTTTTATTCTATTGCCTTGTATGTGTGCATGTAGGCCTCAGCGTGATGTGCATGGGATTAATGAACAGGATGACAACCACTAAACATTATTAAACTTAAAAATGCTTTTTAAAATGATCAGATATTTTAATTGCAAAATGTTTCTTTGCATAGATGTTCTTGTTAGCGGTATTGCCGAGCGTAAAATCAGAGAGTCATGTATGTTGCTAGACTGCAATTAATATTTAATAAAATGCATCGACGCAAAAAAAAAAAGAAGCATGCAATGTATCCCCCAATCAGTCCTAACAGGGTGATTTAAATGCATCAAATGCAGTGATAAATCTCCCTGTTGTAAGTCATTTCTGCATAAAGAGTATGATTTTACTTTCCTTTCGATTTTTTTGTTGTTGCTTGAACTACCGTAATTTCCTGGGGTAACACGTGGATTATAGGCCACGAAAAAGAAAGTGATTTTAAATGTTTGCTCAAAAGCTACTACGGGTGCGTGCGTCTGCAAAGTCGGATAGCACCGCCCCCCTTCCTTCACCAGTGACCATCGTACCCCCTTCACCCCTCTCTCAACCCGACAAGTCAGACACCAGAGCGCTCTCACTCCGTTGCTCTCCTTTCTGTTCGATGCCTGTGTTTTAGTTCCTGGGTGTGTCCCTGGCTCAACTCAGAGAAGTAATTTTCGTGGGAACTTTGTTGCCATTGGCCAACCATAAATCAGCTGTTGTTGCTCGACTGTTTAGCCAACTCAAACTCCGCGCATAGCGCTCCTCTCATTGTGGGCCCACACTGGGTGTGTAGGAGCCCGGTATTCACCCTTCCTAAAGTCGTGCCTTCTGGGAGTGTGTTAACGCACTCTCTCTCTCACACATACCTGGGACTGAATAAATCCATCTCACTGCTCCTGTCAATCCTAACACAGGAATGGGCTTGTGCTGGTCAAATGCTCTGCTCCGGGGAAACGGCATGTGGAGGAAACCTTAGGACAAGTCACTGCCTTCGAGAGGCGAAGGTGCCATAAAAATTCCACAGGGAGTAAAACAAACGGGAAGCGCCTGACTGCGCCATGCCTGTTACGCTTCTTTTAAAATTTGTGATTTCCTTCGTGAATTAATTTGAATGAAAGTCTAAAGCTGACGAACCGTTTTCAAATGGTGAATCGGTCCGGTTACAGCGTTAAACGAAGCTGGACCAAGTGTGCTGGGATTTATTGAGCAATGATACACGACTGCTGCAAGGAATAGCTTCTAACACATCTAAAAATAACATTATTGTTTATTATCAATAATATTTTTGACGGTTTAACTGATCGATTGCAGAGTTGTGTTGAGAAATTGTTTTGGGAATTTTTTTTAATGATCACAGTGGCACAAATGAGGAGAAAATCTCAAGATCGCCTTTTCTCTGTCGTTGTAAATACGTATGTGCTTTTTGTATTAACCCCTAGGAATATAAATATGCAGTTCAGCTTTCACCACACTCGCAAAATGATGTTAAAGTTTGATTGAGTATTCTACATTTCGAGGACTTAAAAAGCATCAACTTCACTTCTAAGCAGCAAATCCTTTCACCGTGTCATTTTTGCAATAAAGTCTATTTTTTCCACCCCTCCACCAATTTCATTAAATTCAAAAGTCATACTTAGCAAAGCCCCGGGCTTTGTAGTTTCTCGGGTTATAAAAAAGAAGAAATAATCAATCTTTAGCTTATATGTAAACAAATAAAAACACGAGAAACTGCAGCTTGGCATGATTGACTGTTTAAAGGTCAATATAGCAGAGGAGTCGCCGTTAAATAAGAGCAAAATAACATCGGGTTTGGCGCAAAAGGCTTGTAATAGCTATCATCTGAGCATCTGTTCCATGGAGGCCCATAGTTATATATTTTAACCTGCTTATAAACGACATTCGTGTGTTCATATAAAGCCCATATTTATAGTTATTAATTTTTCAAAGTGGCGTAAAAAAGCAGGCCTCGGATAGCACTTTCTGTGGCTTTATTCGATAAAGTGATGTTTAGCTTTTATTCTTCCCCCAAACATTTATTTATTAGTCTTTTTTTAATTTTTTTTTTGCTCTTGAAGTCGTTCAAATATTTCACGATAAGGCTATATCATATGAGAGAAAACGCAGCTCTGTTGCGAATGGGCTTTTATTCTATTAAGTGCGCAGACTGTTTACACTCATAGCCCATCATAACATGCATAACGGATTCTGATCGAATTATTTCTGTACACTATCACCGCCGAGATTGCACTCTCAGCATGTCACTTGTTGTATTGTTCAGGAGCTTTTTTTTCTTCCTTTTTTTGCCGCAATGGTCGTTAACCTCCGAATGACCCCGTGTGCAGCCCACGCCTCGGAAAGCGCCGCAGACACGCAGTGCAACTGTTGAACCAGAGGATGGCGCACCACGACAATCCAAAACACCCAAAGCCTCGGCTCAGAGTTTGCCCTAGCCACGAGCGCAGGGAAAGCGCGCACCCTTTATATCCCACCCAGTATTTCCTGCGTGCACGAGTTTACCTCTGGAGGTCACCGAGCAGGATTTACGACTGGTCAACAAAAGCACGTGATTCTTCGCCATACCCCATATTTGGGTGCCTACGTAAGAGAGAATCAAGTCCATGTCCCACTCATTTCCATAATTCATCATAAATTGTGCAAGGGTGCTATAGGACGCGCTAAAGCATAAGAGCCACAAATCAAGAACACAGGTTATGCTATTTTACCGCTAAAAATAACCATCAAAAACAAGAGCAATACCTACAACAAGCAAACGGTGGAACTGTCAACAAATGAGCTCCTATTTTGTGAACTCA